TTACGTAAGGAATGTCTTTACAAGCAGTGTGTTTATAAGACTATTTGTGGTACAATCTACAGGAGATGATTTATAGATATGATGGGTTGTGTTATGTAGTTGCCACCACAGTTTCATGTGTGTGAGGGTGGCACCCAGTTAATATATGGGCTGTCTGCAGACTAGTGCTTTCTCATGAATATTTATCGACAATTGTATAATGGGACTGGTACAGTTATGGAAATATATGCACGGGAGAATATATTTGGAAAAAAATAGATTGAGTATTTTACCCAGAACGATCCTTCTTGGTTATTGACAAGTGATTACTTTATAGCCGAAACCTTTCACCCTGTCAAATACCGGCATTCTCCCTCACCAGTAAAATCTATATTCACGCAGTGTTAATTTTCCGTGCTTGTGTTATTGCTATATAGGGTATGCCGTGTACTTATAGTCACGGCGATAATTCGGCTTCATTGCTGGGGGCAAAAAGTGTGAAAGAAAACCAATTCTTGTGTAGAATTGAACTTTAGAGATATCTACGATAGCATGCACTGAAGTTCAGAATTGCCCAAAAGTGATAAAGTACAAACAGACTTATAAAAAATCAGTAAAAACTACCTTCTCAGTTTTGCCTGAAATATTTGTATTAATAAGATGGGATATGAAATAGGCAGGTATGATTCCAGGAATTGGTACTGTATTTTATGTAAAAAGCACCCCCTCCCCAACGTTTGTCGACACTTTACAACAAGATAGTTTGTAGAAACTAAAGGATTCTTTAGGAGAGTGTAAAGAAATTATTAGATTTAAAAGGTCCATTCATGTATGTAATAAGCATCAGGAACTATTTATAATCTTGATTTTGTTCTCAACTACCACTTTTTCTGAATAAAGAAATGACATCAGAAATTTTCTGGAAATACCCTGGAAATTTTCAGGGTTATCTACAAATACATTTAAAGTGGATTTACTAAGTGGGTATGGAATTTATACGATGCATACGGGGTCTTAGATTTATAGTCATTATGTAAATGGCATTCATATGGAGTGTTTTGTTTTTCTCGCAAGTTAAATTTACAGCCATTTTAAATCTGATCATGTGTGTCTCTCGGCTTCAGATTTATTATTCATCAGTTTTTTTGGATGTTTATTTGAACCATTTCCTTATGAAACAAGACTGACAGGACTAGACATATTTCCTCTGTAGGGACGTTGTGTACATGACAGTTTTCAAGATAAGAATATTTTATGCAGTGTATTTAAATGTCCTGACGCGTGCACACACATACTTTGTGCTATGAGAATTTGTATTAATGTTTTTCGTTATCTCCATAACCAGTTTTTGCAAAACAGTCGTCTTTCATCTGTCGTCAATACATGGCTAATTTTGCAATTGAAGTTAGTGAACTAGCATTCTTTTTAAATGAGACCATGTCTATTTTTATGATCTAAATATATCTTCATTCGACTAGTTTACTGAGCTAAACCAGACCTCAAATGGAATGTCAGTTGCCTAAACCAGGGAATTATTCATTTTTTACCTAGTTTTACAGCCGAATTTAATTTTAGGGGTGAATGGATTAATTGATATATATTGTTTTTCAGGTCTACTAAATCTGCACAAAAATTATGCATATTTAATTAAGAATATATTGATAAAAAGGACATTTCAGAAAGTTTGACAAGTCAAGACACAAAAATGTTCCCACACAAAATATATTCCATTTGAAAATAGATGCATGTTGTTAAATTTGTCCTTTTCAAAGGAAAATGTTTTGTTAAATGTCGGAACACTGGGCATATGGGAACTACGGTAGATGGTGATCAATTTGTCTGCTATTCTGGACAATGGAGGAACTTGATTGTGTTTTGTTGGAAAATGGAGGAAGGATCTTGTCTGGTATACTGAACTACTTTATGGAAAGATTTAACCTATTCACCCGTGAAGTCAAATTCGAACCTTACCAAATTAAAGACTGGGCAAGTCCAGTTTAAAACTGTAGGGGTGAATGAGTTAAACACATGAAAATGAAGACACATGAAAATGAAGTATGCATCAAGGAAAGTAGAAATGTCCAGATTGTATCAACAGCTAGCTTCTTTCCCTACGGACAGTTGAAGACAATGAAGTTGCGTTGATATGAAACGACTGTCGGTTCACTTGCCAACTTTTGAGGTGTACATTTGTAAACTATGACCAAGGTATGGCATTGATTGACTTATCTTGTCTGTACACTGGAAAAAATGCACCGACGGGGGAAAATGTGATTTGCGGCGTTAGGTTTTAATTGGGGGGAAACGCACCTGGTCAGGAGAACGTGAACGGTTTGTGATGTTGAAGCCCATAAGATTGGTCCTATCTCTTTAAAAAAAAGTTATGACAGGAATGAGGGAAAATGTTCAAAGGAGGCCAGATTTTATGGTGGAGGGTGTATTGTTCGTTGAACCTGTCTAAGGCTAACTACTGACATATGTCATACCTCTGTCAAACTCCGCCAGTCTGGGCTGATTTTGATCCCAACCGCTGCGTGACCCTGCAATTCCTCTTTCTGATCAAATTACTGGAGTCTTTGCTTGTACAAACGTCATCAGTTTAAACCCACTCAACCTCCAAGTCACACTTGGACTGATCTAGATTAAGGACAGCATTGTTCGTTATGAGAATCAAGGGGGCCGGGGTGAATTGGTGAATTCAAAAAGCTCAAATCTAATTAAAATGAGATTAAAATTCCCCTTCCTATCAGCTCATGCATCGATCTCTTAAAAATAATTCACAGTTTTGATTTAAATTAAATTTCTCAGGCAAATTGGACCTGGAATCGGCTCTAAAATCTGAGCATGCCCATAGCCTAGGCCCCATCCTTTCCATAATATACGCCTTGATTCAACTTACTCACATCTTATACTCTTGACAGAGCCAGATTCAGTCTTCTATCTGAATATAGGTAAATGGAGAACAGCAAGATGTCAGCCCTTTGCAATCACCAAAGTCAAATGTTTTGTGTCTGTGTTTTGATATAACTTGTTCATATTTGTGATAGGTCAAGCGTACATGGTTATGGCTATGACCCAGGTATCTTTCCTGTCTTTGCTGGTACATTAGGTTGATTTATACATGGTACATGTCCGACCTCCGTCATGTTTTCTTACTCCCCCCTCCAGCCTCATGTCTGGGCATGTGTCTCCACACTTCAATGCAGGTATGTCTGACAGGAAGGAAGATTGTCTTGGACCGGTAGGCCCACAACCTGAGCATGACCCCTTGTCCAGTTTTTGTGACTTCCTCCTTTTGGGAAGATTTGCAGGTCGTTGAGTACATATAAGAGTGGAGTTATTTATGGTTGACAGTAAAATGGACACCATTTCTCCTAGCAATTTTTCTAGTCAAGTTGTGTTACTTTGAGGAGACTTGATAAGACAAACTACAGGATCATTTTGTCATGTGATCATATATATATATATATATATATATATGTATATAAACTAGCATTTCTTTTAGTAACCTACATCTGGAAAGAGAACTTGACTGGTTTGTCCTTCAGAGGCCTATAAACCAAGAAAAAAAAATTAAGTGGTCTGGAGAAATATAAAGTTAGATTTGTGTGTAATGTTTTATTTCTTTTGCTTGGTGTATATCACGTAGAATTTAATTGGCTTCACCTTCAGGTGTCTATAAAGAGAATACAAACCTGTTAAATGCTGTCAGGAGAAAGATATACTTATGCTAGTTGTATGGTCTCTACTTCTGGGTTTGTGGTGTAGTTTTGCCTGTGATGGTTGTTAAACACCATCACTGTGAAACCTGTCCGAAGTTTTGTACATTCCTTACTGTTTTATTGTTTGATGCAAAAATGTGTGCTCCCTCGCTCCCCTTTGAAATTAATAGTTTTGTTCCATGTCTATATTTATTGACCCTGACATTGTCTAGGTTAATACCACTTTTTCAGGTTCATATAACTTCAGTAAAACCTCAATATACTGCCACCGTTTGTCCAGAGAAATTTTGGTTTTATAAAGAGGTTTGGCAATAAATTGAGGGAAATATATAAAGGAATTCTTAAAAAAAACCAAAAAAACCCAACATATATGCTGACTGACAGTGAACGAGGTGGTAAATAAAATGTCAGGGCATTATGTTGAGGTTTTGCTGTGCATGTCTACCTCCAAAAAAGTCCATAATTGATTAATACAGTGGAGATTTGAAAATATTTGTGATTTTTTTTGTACGACTTTTGACTTGGTATAGGATTCCTACAGAAAGAAGAAAAGACTGGCTTCGCTTTGACACACATCTGAACAGGTTTCACTGTCACAAATCATTCAAACATAACAACATACAACAGTCACATTTTGTATAATGTGCTGTAAAACAAATTATCACAAAATAGTGAACCTAGTACCATGTCCTGGTATAAGTGAATGTACAAAGTCATATTTATCAGCATTTACTTTGATGGAATAACTTTCTTGACTTTCAGCTTTTTAACAAGATAAGTTTCATGGATCAATCTAGAATTTAGGGGAATATAGTCATTTGTTGTTGGATTTTTTTTTGGAAAGTTCAAAATCAAAAGAGATATTGTATTATAGAATTGACATTAATTGACAGCATTGCTATTGAAAGGTTAGGGGTTAAGGGGGGTGGGGGGATAAGGG